ATGACAGATATACTACACACACAATGAAGAATTAGTTGTTTTTTTTTCTTTCATGACGGGCGAAGGAATAGATTTAGTAACATATTCACTCGGGTGTGTGGATACACAGGGTGACAGACAACTATCATACATGATTGGATACTTCGATATGGTGTAATGGTTAGCAAGTTTGTCTCACAAGATCAATTTCGACTGAATAGTGAGTTCGTTTTTCAATGGTTGTACCATACTTTCGGCATTGTGCCACATCTAAGCTACTCTGAGAAAATCACCATAACCGAAAATCATTACTTTTTTCTATACCGTGTGTAGGAATAGATTTGATCTCATATTGCAATGGAGGGAGTAAATGAACGGAAAGAAAACTAATAAAAAAACACAGAAATTCATGTTGGGAAAAGGTTTGAGAGAAGATTGTTAAATAAACTGAAATTTCAAGGAAGAAAGAACTACATAATTGAAAAAAATATCGACTGTCAAAAAAAAATGGAAAATTGCCAAGGAGAACCGGACTTTTCATAGAAAGTAGTAATAGTGATATTTTGTGACAGGGGGTCAATGATAAAGTGCAATACTTGACATGTTTACGTAATATTGCTGACAGAAATAGGTATTATGCGAACAACACGTTGTGATCGATACATGGCAATGAAAGGTAAGATAAGAGATGAAAAGGTTGGCTCGATTAAAACAGCTCTTTCAAAAGAGTCTTTTTTTTTTACCAACTTGGACATAACAAGTAAAAATGATGCAAGAGGAAGTTTCTCTCTCACTGAAATGATTAGAAAATCGTCAAGACTGAAGAAAATTTCATCAAAGACTGTCTTTCAAATGCTTTTAAAATTCTCTCCCGAGAAAAAGAAAATATTTAGAGGCATCAGCTTGTCACTTAATACTGTAGCCAATCGTATCACTAATTGAAAAAGTACCTTCAACTAACTACCAGTGAGCAGAATTTTAAAAGATTTTCGATTCTGTCTGATGAAAGTACAGATATTATCATTACTTCTTATTGCGCTGTATTTATCAGAAGCGTTTACAAAAATGTTTAACGACACTGAAGCATAATGAGATTTACTAATTTAGAAGGGAAAATTGACAAGATAGGATATATTTATTATTTGGAAAAGTGTATTACGTGTACGGGTTTGTATTGGCCAAAACTCGTATCATTGACAGCAGATAGTGCAAATGCAATGTCCTCTGAAAAGGTTAGTTTAATCATCATTTATCCAGTTAGCGTATTTTGAGCCGCTGCGTTTACCACTTCTTTTCATCACTTTTTGTCTGATACTGCCAGTACAGCTGCAGTCACCGTCGTTCCAGTCCGCCTCTTAATATTATCAAACTGAGATATGTGCGGTCATTTCTCTCCCGCTTGCCCTTCACTGGGCCCTGCAGAATGTTCTTATCGAAGTCACCTCGTCGCATAATATACCCAATGTAACGTAGTTTCCTTATTGCCATCTGCTCTCTCAATAAGTATTTTTTCTGAAGGTATCTAGCACCCACTTATTAGTGCTTCTCGCTGTCGATGGCCCACTAAGGACTCTGCGATATGCCCACATTTGGTAATCATTATTCGGGTGTCTTCCCCACTTGGTCCGTGTCCATGACTCGCATTCATAACTGTCAATGTGTACCTAGACATCATTATTAACACCCAGACCAGGATATCAAGAGAAGGCTGGCAATAGTAAGAAGTGCTACAACAAAAAATGGGAAACATCCGGTTTGGTTTGGTTTGGTTTGTTTTACGGCATATCAAATATTTAATGCCGACAAGATTTTAGGATAAGTTCGTATGAACACAATATATATTCTTTGTAAGAAATCGGTTTTTAGATCAGGTTTGACTGATGTATTTTTCCAAAAAATATATTTGTTAAATAAGTCTAGCAGATTTCTAGATTTTTAGAAAATTATATTCTCCTCTGACTTCCTCATTTTGACCTTTGAGGTGAGACAGAGGAAAACAGGGGAAGTCGTTTTTAATTGGCTAAAACTAACGTTAGAATGTTAGAGAGATAGAAAGGGATTTCAGGGAGTTAAGTTTTACACGTCATAGACAGTTGACGTGGTTATTTCATGTCTCAGGCAACGTGCTGACAAGCGGGGGATGGGATGATGGAGCGTCCCTACTGGCTAGTTAAAAATGTACACGTCGATGTCTCTAGTAAAAAAATAACTTTAAAATCCCTTTCATCTCCGTACTCCAAAAACATTTCGACACCCGGCAGGGAGAAGACGAGAGAGAGAAAAGATACAACGTTATGGAATTGTCCCTGTCAACCAAGAAGCCTCCAGAACGAGGTGGGTAGGCAACATTTTCTGGTAATATTTTTTTTAAATGTATTACTGGTTCTTTTACTATAAAAATGTATTTTTATACCCTCATTGTGTTTTGCCCTTAGTTTGGAGTTTACCTATTTGCCCATGAACGGGATCCTAACAAGTGCTACCACTGTTAAATAATAGTTTCATACTATTATTTTTCAGTGACAGTGTATTTTGGCTCAGACCTTCTGAAGCTGACCTTTATGGCCAGATGGTAGAGAAAATAGGGATGTTGATTTTGATTGGTTGAACCGAACGTGGGAATTTTAGAGAGATAGAAATTGATTTCAGAGAGTTAAAAACTTACACGTCGAAGAATGTAGACGTGTTATTTTCGTGTATGGAACTTACTTCCCAGTGGGGGTGATATAGCGACCCCACTAGCTAATTAGAAGATGTACACGTTAACGTATTTAAAAAAAAAAAGTAGTAAGTCAAAATTCCTTTTGTTGAAGTTCTCTTTCATCTCCGGACTTCAAAAACATTTCGACACCCGGCCGGGAGAAGACGAGTGAGAGAAGATACAACCTTATGGAATTGTTCCCGTCAACGAAGAGAACTAGGAGGGGGTATGCAATATTTTTCTGGTAATATTTTTCTCAAAAATGTATTGCTGGTATTTTTACTATAAAAATGTATTTTTATACTTCAATAGTATTTTGACGTCATTTCAACGGCTAAACATTTGCTCATACATGGGACCCTAACAGGTACTACCACCCCGGTTGAGGGCGGGCCTGGAAACAACAGCAACTAAGAGGTGGTTCCACGCTACTCAAACTCTCCCAATCAGAGGCCTTGCTGCTTGATGTAGTTTATCGTCATACCCAGAGTGCAGGAATCATTTGGAATAGTCGGAAAGAATACATTAGCCTAAAGTTGTAATTAATACAAACCACTGCTTTCACCATCGCAAGCTAAGGATGCGAAACAAGAGTTTAGTTAACCGATTTAAATAAATGGTTACTTGGTGTACCCATTTCTGCTATCCATTGCCTTTTGCACCACGAGTAGTTGTGTGGAAAATGTTGCAGATGGTAAACGTATTGGATCAACCAGGGACAATACATTTCTTTTGTTGCCATCATGAATAATGAATATGCAGCGTCTCTCTACCATTCGTTGGCACAGTTGGGGTACTGTTTTAAACATTTTTTTTTTGCTTTAAGAGACAAGGTTGAACTGTTCTTTCCAATGAAAAGAAAAGATATTCCCATGTTAATTCACCTAATTTTGTCTGTAAGCTTACATTTCTCACATACTTGAATGCCCATCTTAACATTCTAAAGGTGACGCTCCGGAGACCAAACTCGGTAATAACAACGATGTACGAATGTGTAAAGGCTTTCAAAAGTAATCTTTTATTATGGAGAAAGCAACTTGCAGACAGAAAATTAACCCCCCCGCTCACAGCCTTGTAGCCATTGTAGAAGGTTGAAGAACATTACTTGAATGTATATGCAGATATTATTTTAGAATTGCATCCACAGTTTGACTGACGTTTTAAAGACTTTCTAGCAATTTATCTTTTCTCACACGCTACTCGCTTGTGCAAAATGTCTTCCGGATTCTTCCTTTTGAGTCAACTTTGATCTTCAAAAATTTTATATGCATTTTCTGTCTCGTTGCATCCTATTCTTTTATTCTTCTTATTGATATTCAAAGGCAATTTATGTTTTTGCTATTCCATTGATCCTGGATGTTGATAGTATTTCTGAGAAATTTCAGCTAGAGTTGTCGATGGGGCTTCAATGTGATATGTAGAGATTGGTGTTCCTGATTTTCTTTCCAGGTGTAGGGTTTCCTGAATTGTTTTTCTCATCTTTGCACATGATGATCCGGTTTGAAAATATATACAATACAGTTCAAAAGTGTGAGGAGAACCCTGGTACTTTTTTTTTTAAATGACCTCAAAGGTAGTTGTTTTGTACTTTAAATAAGAGAAATATATTATACATAGGTAAAAAACAAAAACAAAAAAAAACAAAAAAAAAACAAAAAAAAACGGCACATGATTTTTTTATTAGAAATTTTATTATGACAAAAGGCAAAATAGCATTTAATTAAATTTCGCTCTCGTCAAAATATCCTTCTTTAGTCTTGATTAATGTAGCACAAATTTTTGGCATTTGTTGCAAAGGTTTCTCAAAGAATAAGTTTGATAATTTATTCCTTTCTTTTTTCAGTGACTCTAAGAGCTCTTTTCATTTTTTTTTTTCATTCTTCTGTCAAGTTCAGCCCATGCAAATTCTGTTTTTTGCTTTTTCAAACTTTTAAACTGTACTGTACGTATTTGAAAAAGATTTTCTCAATAATAAAAACAAATAAATACGCATTGCACTCAAGGCTAACGGATGAACATTTACATTCCGTGTTGTGATTGGTTAATTTTCTAGATTTAAATCCAGACGTATAATCCATGGTTATTTCAAAACATTGGCAAAGTCATCTTCAACATGAATTGTTTCGACCAAAATTTACCCTTTGCATTCTGTGTAGAATGTTGAAGACTGACCGTTTTGCCTCATTGACTCGTCGGGTTAGTGAGTTTCCCTGTGCCTTCCATATAAAGATAGAAGGTAAATTTTCACCGGTTCGGGATCAACCGAAAGTAATTAAAAATCTATTTAACTTTACATAATATGTCTGCATTTAGTGTTTTCAGTCACATCACGTTGAATCACCGGTTCCTGTAGGATCACTGAAGTTAAGCAACGTCGAGCCTGGTTAATACCGAGATGGATGACCGCTCGGAAATACCAGGTGATGTAAGCTTGAAAGTTCAGGTAGTATCATGGATAATGATTTGGAATTATTAATCGAAGAGATGTGTTCCAATTCCCTTCGGGTTCGATATATTCACTTACGTGCAAATATGCTTGGGAAAGTTAAGAATACACGTCCTCTCTCCCCAGCTATAAGACTTGTATCATTTAAAGTATTATTAGCTAAAAACAAAAAGGAATTCTAACTAAAAACTAAAATATATTGTTTCTGAGTTTAAATCAAATGCAAAGGGTTGATACGCCGTAGAAAACGAACCAGTCAATCTGAATTTACAGATCGCGAATTCTATCAGAGAGATGAAATTTAAATTTTTATTATTGCATTATTCCAAAATTTTAACACATCAACAGATAGCTCTTCATGTTAACAACTGAGCACAAATAGTTATTAATTTAATAAAATTAGTAATTAACATATAACATTATCCATAACTACTTGTACAAGAATGTCATTTCTGATAAAAGTTAAAAAATAACGATAAATACGTAAAAATGCGTATATTGTTGAAAATTGCTTTTTCCACAATACAGCTATTTGTGCTATGCGTTATGAATAATCAAGAGTGGCCTCCCCTTTGTTTAAACGGAACATTTTAAAGGCCTTCAGTTGTCGTGCAATCAGGAAGTCACAAGTCTTTCCTGACTGAGTTTTTAAGCGTATCGGCTTTCTTGCTTTTTTTTTTTAAAGATCGTGATATCTGTCAGATATTTGAAATTTAGATTTTTATTATTGCATTATCCCAAAATGTTAACACATCATTAATGTCAAGAACTGAACACAAATAGTTGCTAATTTAAAAAATTAGCAATAAATTTATAATATTTTCGATAACGACATAAACAAGAATGTCGTTTAGGCTAAATGTTAAACAAAAATAACCATAAAAACGTAAAAAATGCATATATTGTCAAAAATTCTTTTTTCCAAAATATAGCTATTTGTGCTATGTTATAATTCTTATTACCAAAGCAATAATAATACTGAATATTTTTTTTATAAATATTAAAGTATATTTAATTACATCTCCCTAATAGCTATTGCGATCTGTTATATATTTTTGGTTACATTTTGTATTAAGATATTCAGTTTATTAGAACATTATTCATATTAAATATGCATGCCAAATACAGGAAAAATTGGGAAAGATATGTGGAAAGCAAAACACTGAGCAGGCTAAAAATCATGGACATAATCAGACAGAAACATGATAAAGGAGAAACAGAATTGCCTCTTATATAGCAACTATTGTAGCCTAGGAAAGGTTACTGAATGAGGAATAACCAAAACAGAACTTGGAAATGAAATGGTAATCTTTATAACATCAACAAAATACAATACTCGCCAGTGGCGTGAAGTAGGTAAACCACTGCTAGTAGTAGCCTACTTAGAGAGCATATTACCCCCGCTTACAATAGTCTCAAACGTATTTATACAGATCGGGACGTATCCGTTTGTGTTCATAGGTACGGTAAAAATCAGTAACCCAGAACAATGTATTCTAAACTGAAAATGAAATACAACAAATAATAATAATAATATATAAATAAATATAGTAAATTCTGCTTTTGTCAACACCAAAGCTGCAACTGTCATGCACCTCATTAGTCAATATGGCTACCATTATTAAGAATAAGTATAATAAAGTGGATTATGGATGTAGGAGTGACGCTGAAAATGAAATTGGTTTGACGAGTTCAAATGACCGCCTAGTCTGAGTTCTCTCTTGCACAAAGTCATTTGGAAAACACGTGTATCTATCACTTTTCCCCATCATCTATGACTGAAATACTCGATGAGACTGAATTTTCTAGTCGGTTTACAAGAAAGACGTTGAAATTAAAGCTGTAGAGAAAGCAATGAGAAATCACTTCACTATCTTTCCAAGAATTCTTAGCAGTTCATATATAATAAACAAATGTTATCTGTAGAGACCCATGAAGGTCTACGGCTCGAAGGAAAATTACTTTTTTTGTAAATTGGAAAATTATGAACAGTAATACACTTTGGAAAAATGCGTTCGATTTTGCAATGTAATAGTATCACAGAGCAGACTTTACCCTATTAAATAAAAGTAATAATGTGGTAGTGTAACGGATATCGGAGCAGAAAGTGGGATCGACGAGCAGGGTTCAAATTCAGAGCTAGTCAGTTGATTCCTCTTCCGCACAAGTGCTCTTAGAAAAAGGCGAGAGTCTATCTCTTCTACCCGTCAGGGCTCTTTAGTCTGGAATGACAATCAGCCCGAGAGAAGAAAAACTCTAAATTCGAAACCGTGGAGGAGACAACTACTCCATTCTCTTTCTCAAGCGATTCAGAGATTGTTATATAGGAATAAAATTAGTAACTACCGACACCGAGGTTCGAGCGTGAACATATGTTTTCCGCCAGGTGTATAAATAGAGGTGTCAGGCTACTGACTGGAGTGATTATTGTGTGATTATTGAGTGACTATTGAATGGAACTATCCAGTCGAATTAGTGTGAATTATTGTGCGTCTATGATTTGGATTTGATTTAGGATTTACCGGACGTTAAGCCGAGCCGCGCTGCAAACAAGGTATTCACTGAAATGGTTAATTGCCTGTGGTTAACTTTCACCTCTTTGTTCTTGTTAATTATTTATTTGCGGTTGTAATTAAATAGTGTTTTATCTTAACATTGAAGTCCTGAGTTATACTTAATTATTAACGAGCACCTGACGTCATAAAACAGATTATAAAGAGAGAGGAAACTGTGGAGAATCATGATCGTCTACGTCTTGAAGAGATATGACTCTAAAAACTTCTAGTAGATGTGAACAAGAAAAAGAAAATCCAGCAAAATATTAGATCTGGTTGTGTCAAGAAAACCCAGCGAGAAAACAGAAAAAGAAGAAACAAAGTTTGTCTATATTTCTGAGATGAGGTATTATGTACAGTATTTACATTAGTCGGACTATTGTCCTCATCTTTGACGCCATATTTGTCACAACGTTTCGGCCGTTGTACGCTCCGGCCTTCTTCAGGTGGTTGGAATGTCGAACTGAACCCTTTATTTCGATCGCTGGGGTAGACTGTTCTAATTCCACGTGCCATGTTTGATGGATGTCAGTTATCAGTTATCTCCTGCTAATTTTCCCTCTGAAAGTTCTCCACTGACTTAACCAGGAATTGAACTCACCTTCTTTGGGTCTGTCACTGGATCTAACCAACGCCTTTATCCACTGTACCATGTGTCCTTGAGGACATCAGGGTATGAACTTCTGAGTATTATAAACCTAATGTTTTCAGCATCATTTTTACCAGTGCTCATATTGCAATTTTTGCTGTTATCATTGCATGTCTTTACCAGAGTTCATATTGCAACTTTGTTATCATTGCTTTTCTCTGGCACTCCTTATTACTGGTTCCCATATTGTATTTATTTCTATGCTTGGTCGGCTCAGGAGATTTTTGTGGCCTAGCATATGTGCTGATTCCTTAAGTTTACGAATTTTCCAATGGTGTTCCCTGTCTATGATCTCAACATGATCCCACAGGGGCGGTGATCTCCCTTCTCTCTCCATATGTGGTCAGCCACGCCTGATTTTTTCTACTTCCCTCGCGTTACAGCTTTCTGGTGTTCTTGAAGCCTTACCTTGAGGGGGCGGCCTGTCTCTCCTTTATATTCCTTTCCGCAGCTGCATGGGATAGCGTACACACAGTCTTTAGTCATGTTCCTCTCTATGGGGGGTCTCACTCGTGAGAGATACCTGCGAAGTGTTGTCACGCTTTTGAAGAAAATACAAAGGATCTGCGGTCCATATAACATCAGGACAACCTTTAAGGCAGTGGAGAACTTTCAGAGGGAAAATTAGCAGGAGATAACTGATAACTGACATCCATCAAACATGGCACGTGGAATTAGAACAGTCTACCCCAGCGATCGAAATAAAGGGTTCAGTTCGACATTCCAACCACCTGAAGAAGGCCGGAGCGTACAACGGCCGAAACGTTGTGACAAATATGGCGTCAAAGATGAGGACAATAGTCCGACTAATGTAAATACTGAAGAAGAAACAATTATAAAAGATTTTTTTTAATCATTTCACCCCCAAAAAAGAACTAAAGGCCCTAAGGTTACTGAGTGTGATAGAAAATGATAATAAAAAAAAAATTCTTAAGGAACGAGAAGAATAAAAGAACAGGAATCAAGACGACAGAAGAGAATGACTGACATTGAAAGTAAATTTTTGTAGGTCAAAACTAACTCAAAAGTTGCACTTGATCAGTTTTACGATTATTTTCACATGTACATATATATATATATATATATATATATATATATATATATATATATATATATATATATATATTGAACAATAAAAAATTTAAAAATATTAAAATCTTCAGACACACTGGGTTGTAGATTAATATTTTTTCTTTTTTTTTTATTATTATTTCATTTAGATTCCTCGACTAGTTTCGGCCAAAATGGACATCATCAAATATTTCTGCTTGCTGATAGCAGTAAACTATATATATATATAGGGCTGGTATGAATGGAATAAAATTACGATAAACAAAAACACTAGTTTTAAAAAATTGGTCAACACAAAGTAGAACAAAGAACACCATCACTTGATAAGACACCAGATGTGTTGAAACAAAATGGCTGTTTTTGTAATGATGTTATAACATGCTTATGTTATAATTTTTGATATTATATCATGCTTATGTTATAATTTATATATATATATATATATATATATATATATAAAATTTATAACATAAGCATATATATATATATATATATATATATATATATATATATAATAACCTTGAATTACCAGTTACTAGCTACCAGTCCTTGTCTGTGGATTGCGCCAGCAAACAACGGTTTCCAATTCTGGAACTAACGGACATTGCTCGCTCCGCATGGGGATGATTGACATGTTGTAAAGCCAAATAATAAAAAAAACAATCCCTGTGGGAAGAGGAATGTCTTTACTTTCGACCGAATCGTCTGG